ATATATATATATATATATATATATATATACACACAAACATACAGAAAGGTATCCAATTCTTAACAGATAAAGAAACAAACAATAAATTCCTTTTTAAATGTAAATAAATATTTGCATTTAGAACCATGGCAACTGTTTCATTATTAGTAGGTTTGGTGTGAAGAATAGTTTTGAATGTACAAACAACCAAAAAATATCAATGGCATAGTATTATTTTTCTATTTGAAAATATTATTGAAAATTAAATGGCAAGCAAGGGAGGCTGTAGGTGTAGCTTACCAACAGAAAATTTTCAGCAAATTAGTTAATATTTATGTAAAATCTTGAGTTAAGTGAGTATGCTACAAAATTCACCTCAAATTTTCCCTCATTCAGAAATGAGTCAAAGAAAAAAGAAAACAACTGAAATAAACCATATAGGAAATTAAAAGGGAAAACATTAAGTTATAATTAATTTGGTAGTAGATCTAGTAATTATTAAGTCTTCTATTCTAAAGGAAAGCATTAAAATTTCATAAATGTGTTTAAATTTCAACAGTTAATAATTTATTTTAGTATGACATTTCATATCCTAACATTTTTAATTAAGACTCTATTTCATAAGTTAGCAAATAATTAGTTTTTAAAATAGATATATCAAAAAGGGCTGTCATTAATTAATATGCTCTGCTGAGAGACTGGTTGTCTTTTTAGTTTTAGTAGTATCGTTCAAAACAAAAATTTCCACTTACCGGAAAAATGAAGAGAGAAGTAGAAGGGAATTGTGAACAGGAAGAAAATGACACATATTGTTTTTTCAAAAGTGAGGAAAAAAGAAATTAAGTGAAAAGGGGAAAGTTTATTTTAGAAAAAAGCATTATAATCAAAACAGCATATATTAAGTAAATTTGGGAATGAGCATCATATATTATTTTTACTTTTGAATTAGAAATGGAATGAGTAAAGATAAAACTTTAGTTCTATTTTCTACACATCTGACTTAAATTAATTATGATTTTTAAGGCAATGTGATAAAGGATATTCATTGACTGAAGTCAGGATAACTAGGTCTAAACCATTAGCCAATTCCCCTCTCTAGGCCAATAAATTAGAAAATTAAACTAGAAAGTCTCTAAGATACTATTTACATTTAAGATCCTGGGTGAGAGAGATCTATACATCACAATTGGTAATATATATTGTGGAAAAGAAATGGGATACAGGTGTCTGGCTTGAATAACTTGCGGGGAACTGTGGTATCATTTACTGAAATGAGAAAGTCTGGGGGAGTTCTTGGTGAGTGTAGAAATCAGAGTTGTTTTGAACACATTAAATCTGAGACAGCAGAAAAAGTGATTAATATTGATTAGGCACAAACTTTGTACTTAAAGCAATATGGCACAGGGTTTGAGATGCAGTGGGCCCTGGCTGGCGAGAGCACTCCTGGGTCCATCCCCTTGTGTCAGAAGCAGGCATATGACCTATACCAGGTCAATTGGTCAATTAGAATCTCCTTTTGGGCTTTTATTCAATTAATCAGCATAGAAATCTTTTTTTTTGGGAGGGCGGTTAGGGGTTGCTAGCTGTGAGGTGTTTTAGAAGGCCATTCTGGCTACCATATTGTAAGAATCTACTTAAAAATAGACAACAAATAAGAAAGATGAGAAGATGATGAGAGCTATGGAGAGATGGAAATGGACAGTTATGACTAAACATTAGCTAGATCTGGCTATCTCTAAAGTTACATGCATTCCTGAATTTTCCAAGCTATATGAGGTGATAAAATCTATTTCTTAAAAAAATTATTGATTGATTGATTGGTTGGTCGAACTGGGGATTAAACCCGGGGTACTCTACCTCTGAGCTACATCCTCAATGGTTTTTATTTACTTTATTTTTTTAATTGTCAACAGACCTTTATTTTTTATTTATTTAAATGTGGTACTGAGAATTGAACCCAGAGCCTCACACATGCTAGGCAAGTGCTTTACCACTGAGCCACAATCCCAGCCCTTTATTTTATTTTTGAGAAAGGGTCTTACTAAGTTACTGAGGCTGGCCTCAAACCTGTGATCTTCCTGCCTCAGCCTCCTGAGTTGCTAGGCTAACAGGTGTGTGCTTACAGCCTGGTTCTATTTTTATTTTGAATTTGGGTTTCTGTTTCTTGCACTTAAAGGAATCCCAACCAATTCACAGACCCATAATAGTATATACCTATAAATTTTTATTTTTGATAGGAGAAATGCTCCCAGTATTTCAAATTCTCTAGCTATTTTACCCTGTAAAACAGCATAATTTTTTTGTATCTTGATTCCAAATTCTGGTTATTTTTATTTTTACTGTTATTACTTTTATTCAAACCCCTACTTAAGCCTCTCTGAAAATAAACTCTAAATACTAGGTTAATACTACCCAAATGCTGATGCAGTAGGGCAACTTAGTAAGACCCTGTCTCAGAATAAAAAATAAAAAGGATGGGTATGTTGCTCAGTGGTTAAGTTCCCCTGGGTTCAATTCCCAGTACCAAATATATATACATACATACATATATACATAACAGGGATATAAAGTATAGGCACTGATCTGTAGCTAGTTTTTTCCGTAGACTTGAACCTTAAACTAAAAGCATGCCAGCTGTTCAATTTCACATTCTGAATTAAAATATGGCCCCACTGGATCAACATGATTGGGGATTCCTGATTTAGAATGGCTAATCAATAATTAAAAATAAACTTCCCTGAATTTTGACCTAAAATTGGGAGGACAGAGAACAGGAAATAAGGTTCAGTTATAATCAGAGCTGATTTTCTTTTTCTCCCCTCTTCCTTCCTCCCTTTCTTTTTCTGTGACACTTTTAATAGAAATGTGTGATTAAAGGAATATTGGTAAATGGGTGCTATGTTTGAAAACTGTGCTAGGTCTCAGAGTGATCTTAGGAGAAGAAAATAGGAGATAAAATAGGAGATGATGATGAAATAGGGAGAGAATCACAGATTCAGAGCTGGAAGAGATCATAAAGATTATCTTGTCCAACTCTTTCAATTTTAGGAATGAAAGTGACTTCCCAGTGAGGTAAACAGCAGGGCTAGATTCCACCGCTATCTCCTTCTGCCCTATGTCTAGCTCTGGTCCACCTCCAGCCTGGCAAAGACATTCTACACTTTCTTGACACTGGTTCTTTGTCCCCAACCCCCACCATAAATGACATGAGGCCTGTCAAAATCCATTTAAAGAAAATATGATGGTTCCTGGGGACTAGGATTTTCCTTTTTTTTCAGATTAATTAACTAGTGAATTTCTGCTAAGTTTATGCTGTAGAATATATGGATATTTAGGAAAAATTCACAACCCTGCCTTCAAAAATCTGCTTGCTGAGGAAATAGTCTCTAAATAATATAAGTTTGTTTTATAATTTAGATCAGTGGTCCTCTATGATAATCTGATACAAACTATGGATTAGCTGCTGAGAAAAACCCAAACATTTTTGCACATATTCAGGAAGCTAATGGATCCCTTGAAGTCCACCCCTGATCATAAGCCAAAAATTATCAGATTTACTGTGTACTGCCATATAAAAATTATCTATAGAAACAAAATAGAAGCTTTATAATAATATCTTTGATGCAAAATGAATAAATCTTACATTCCTTCTACAGCAAAGAAATTGCATTCCTTAGTATCATCAAAATGTCTTTCTATAAGTGCTTTCCAATGTCAATTTTGTGTATGTTTTATTCTGTAAGAATATCTTGTCTGCTGTCAGTTTCTGGAAGCTATTTTCATGTAGATGCGTTTATATATAAAAATACAAAGATAAACTTCATTAAGACCAGAAGAAATGCAGCTTAGCTAATGAATTATTCTTTTTCAATTTTTTTTTTTTTTATCTAGCTTGGAATGCTGTTTCTAAGGCTTTGATGCCAAAGGGACTGAAGTCATTAAGATGAGTTGATAATACTGCAGCATGAACACTTTCTGCTCTATTAAAAAAATTATTTAACTCTTTTAGAATTTAATTTCTTAACAAAAAGTGAAAGGTTTATGTACAACAAAATCTACAGATTAATGTCAAGAATAAATCCAAAGGAGGATAATTCCTTTTCTTTGTGTGGAATTATTTATATTAAATGTAATTTGGAATTTAAAATAATGAAGTAGACAAGTGCAGTGGCACACAACTGTTAATCCCAGTGGCTCAAGAGGCTGAGGCAGGAAGGTGACAAGTTCAAAGCCAGCCTCACAACTCAGCAAGGCTCTGTATAAAAATAAAACATAAAAAAGGGGCTGGGGATGTGGCTTAGTTGTTAAGCGCCCCTGGGTTCAATCCCTGGTACCAAAAGTAAACAAATCAATGAAACTGATGTTACAAAAAAATCAGAAAACATGCCTTAACACACAAACTCTCATTAGTATAAGTAAATGTGAACTCAATCATATGCGAAAGACACATTTCTACTTAGTAGTACATGTTAACAAAGCAGGACTTATTTAAAGGATAGATATGAACATATACATACCACAGGTTGTTTTGTTATGTCCACCAGGTCCTTAAGATTATAATACTGATGTTTCTCAAAGGCTGAAAACAGCATATCTAGTACATGTTGTTTATCAGCCCGAGCTCGCTTCCCATCTTCTTTCTTTTTCCTTTCATATTCAATCTATATGCAAAAAGAAAAAAAAAAAAGAAAGAAAGAAAAGAAAAGCATCAATTCAACATACTCACTTGAAACACAGGCATCTCTGTTTTATACATCTAAAAACGATTAGATTTGAAGTTTTGGGCCATGTGCAGTGGCAGATGCCTATAATCCTAGCAACTTGAAGCAAGAGGACCAAGGCAGCCTGGTCAATTTAGTGAGACTCTGTCTCAAAATAAAAAGATTTGAAGATTGTAGGCAGAAGAGCTCTGAACTGGGGTTCAGAGCCTGGGATCCTCATTGCTCCCAGGACTCCCTATATCTTCAAAGCTTTAGGATACTAATAATGACAATCAGTAAATCATCTTCAGTATTCCTGAAGCTCTGCATGTAATGTGACTATTTCTCCCCAAGTAAGGTTTCTTTCTGGTTAGCCTGTGGTGATTAGAAACTGTAATTTGCAGTTCCTTTGTTTTTTATTAACTAATATATAGTAAGAGTTTCTGTACTAGACATAGATTGGAAGGTAACACCTTTCAAACATGAGGTCCCTGGGGGCAGGCAGATCATACAATGGGTTCTCTAGGAAGTCAGAAGTTTGGGAAGCAAAGGTTAAAATAAAAAAGAATACGGGCAGTGCCAGTTCTCACTCTGGATCTTGCTGCCTCCTTGAAGCTGTTTTTTTTTTTTGTGAAATGAAGTAGGTTTAGCAAAGGAAAAGGTAAATATATACTTGGCTCTCAGACACAAGGAAACCATTTCTCTGAAATCCTCATTTTATCTTAGAACATTGTGTGACCTCTAAATTCATTTGTATAACATACTCTTAACACACACACACACACACACACACACACACACACACACACACACTATACCTCTTTATCTAAGTAAAAACAATACTCTTGGACCGCATGTTGTGTGTATCCTCTAGTCTGACATATTTTCATGCACACAAATTTGGGAAGCAATGGCCCCAAAAGAATGAAGTTCTCTTCCCCTGTTATCATCCTGGGTTTGTTTATTTGTAAAAAAATTACCTCTCTGGGGCTGGGGTTGTAGTTTGCCTCACACGCGTGAGGCACTGGGTTCAATCCTCAGCACCACATAAAAATAAATAAATAAAATAAAGATACCGTGTCCATCTACAACTAAATAAAAATTTAAAAGATTATCTCTTTATTGAAAATATATAACTTCTATTCACTTATTTTAGTTCAGTTGAAAAAAAATTTTAAGGAAGCACTTCATTTTTATAAAGCATAGAAACTTGTTATAGGAAACATACATAAATGGTAGCAACCCACCAGGTAAATAAAACCTCAGTAGACTGAGTAAAGCTGTCAGAGAACAATCTCCTGTTCATCAGCTGGAATGATTATAATCTGGGGACTAGCTTAAAAAAATAACAAAATATACTTCAAAAGTAACAACTAAATTATTGCATAAACTCCATCTCTTGCAATGAGGTTTATTCTCTATATTTTAACAATAGAGATTTGTCAAGAATGATAAAATTTAGTTGCAATTGATCTATTGATGTTAAAACTGAAAATACATCTTACATATAATTGGAGACTTACAAATCAGTGGCTAAAAAGGCAACTTTGACAATATTGCCTTTTAATGAAATAAACTTAGGAGCCAGACAAGGGAGAAAGGGGTAACTTAATCAACTTAATTTTTTTAAAAATATGTACATCTTGGGGATGAAACTCAAAATCCATTTATCTTGCTTGGCACAGTGGTGCATGCCTGCAATCTCAGTGACTCAGGAGACTAAGGCAAGAGGATAACAAGTTCAAGGCCAGCCTCAGCAACTTGGCAAAACAGTGTCTAAAAATAAAAAATAAAAAGGACTGGGGATGTGACTCAGTGGTTAAGAGCCCCTGGGTTCAATATCTGGTGCCAAAAAAAAAAAAAAAAAAATTCTATTCATTTCTTTGGGAGATCAAGCACAGACTATGTACTAGGCAGTGCACTGAGATATGGAGCAAATAAGATAGTCTTCTCTTTAAAACAGTATTTCTTTCTTTGGGCTCATGTATTAAAATGCATAGAGGCCCTTGAGCATTTAAAATGTATTAACAGTAGACCACAGAACTACCTAGGATAAGATCACGATGCTGAAAATAATGCAAATGTACGACACAGATTGCATTGTTGGGGAGGAATGAAATCCTGCCAGGCAGTCTCAAGATTTCCTGGGTGAGAACAGCATAAAAGAGAACATGATGGGCAGTTACAAAGAATTTAGAAGAATATAGGCTTTCTCTAGGGCCCAAAAAAGGATAGAAGAAGATTATATTATTGGGGAGAAAAAAGGATGAGAGACCCGGATAAAACCCACAAATCCAAATATCAGGGTCTTTGGGTTAAAAGTGGGATGATATCATGGGATGTGTAATGGGGTAAATATGTTAAGCCTTTCTTTGCTGACCAGTGACTACAACATATCTTTACTTAGTTTGAATCCTGACATCCCCTTCCACTGTCACACTGCACTTATACAGTATCGGACAACCCAGAAAGTGGGCCTGGTGAAAAGCAGAAAAAAGCCAGGACTGGGAGATGAAGACATTATAATCCTTTACCCTGGTCAAGTGCAGGATAAGAGAAATTTACCTTGGGATCTAGAAAATAAATCAAAGAATCTATTTACATACAGAAGAGAGATGGTAACTGCTTATTCCCTTCCCAAGGGGTTGGGTGGGATGTGGGATTTCATTTATTGTCAAAAGCTATTGGTTTCCAGGGAAGACAAGACAAAGTGGGGACCCAGGAAAATATTAGAGTTTAGCTTATTTTCTTTCCCCATCACTGAGCACTGAACCCAGGGCCTCATGCATGCTAGGTAAGAGTGTTACCACTGAGTTTTTATTTTATGCTATTTTGAGGCAGGATGTCACTAAGTTGCCCAGGCTAGCCTTGAACTTCCAATCCTCCTGCCCCAGCCTCCATATCCTTGGGAATACAAGTGTGAGTGGGATTAGGCCTTTGCATCCTTCATATGCAGTCAGACCCTGCATGACAACTGTCTCCACTCCCTTCCCAGCTTTAGTTTATGTTGAAAGAAGATGACAGATATAGATAAATTCAGAAAAAAGAAGTGATTTCTACCCTTTGGAGGCTCTTCATTATATAAAATGATGGGTGAAGCTGGGAAGATTAATAGAAAAAAATGTTTTCAAAGAAACATGCTGGTAAAGCAAGAAGGGCTACTTCAGAGAGATCAAGATATAATATTCTCGTTGGCAATGGTGAGAAAAACTTTTTAAGGGTTTGTTATCAATTCCCAAACCCAGAGTTAAGATGGCCAGAATTCAAAGGCAAGAATTTAGAATAAATTAGAAAGGAACTTTAAAATCATTACCAGGGATAAGATCAGAAGTTAGATTAAGTTGTGATTTATAATGTTAATGAGTAGGAAGAAAACCACCAAATTCTATCTAGATTTTTTTTTAAAAAATTGGTTTACATACCTCCTGCTCAAATACAGTGACTGCACTGAATGTTGGTGCTTTCCTTCTTTAAAAATAAAGGGGAAAGCAGAATAGAAATGTATGCTAATCATTCTATGTTAACCATGTCCACCAATGGCTCAATTCCTTGAGGTAGTGTGGCCTCTTATCTACTGAACAACAATTCTTAAAAGTGTAATCTGAAAGCCCCAACACATTTATTCTTATGTTTATTAAAAAAAAAAAAAAAAAAACAAGAAATGGGCAAAGGTATAACTCAGTGGTAGAGGACATGTCTAGCATGTACAAGGCCCTGAGTTTGATCCTAGCACTACAAAAAAAACCCCTATAAAACCCCAAAACATCTATTATTGTCATAGTCCTGTACTATGGGATAACTTATAAAAAAATATTGCTTTAAAGCTAAACTGGTTAAATCTTTTTTGATAATATCTAAGACAGGTCCATAATCCAAATTCTCCTTTGTTGTATCAGGTAAGAAGTTCCAGTATATGTATAATTATAAAAAGGGGTTTAAATTATTTCCATGTTCATTAAGTTAATAATACCTAATATGCTTATGATAAAACTAAGGTCCTTGAAGTTAACTTTTCTTTTTTCTTTTTAAAATCTAAACAGTACAGAAGTGGTAATCTTAGTATTCAACTTAATCTTGGTACTGCAGGTAAGAGTAATTACACAAACTATAAATAATATGCACTAGTATACTTCAGAGAAATTTATAGTTCTGAGATAATGTTACTTCTGTTGGTTAACTATTTTTCCTTTGGGCACTTTGTTTCTGACACAGGCACCTTAAAGAAACAACACTTGGGCTGGGGATGTGGCTCAAGGGTAACGTGCTCGCCTGGCATGCGCAGGCGCTGGGTTCGATCCTCAGCACCACATAAAAATAAAATAAAGATGTTGTGTCCACCAAAAACTAAAAAATGAATATTAAAAAAAAATTCTCTCTTAAAAAAAAAAAGAAACAACACTCAAAGCAGTCAGACTAAATCTAACTTGTTAGCAGCCAATACAAAATATTACTGACAGTTATTAAAACAAATAGTTTTTAAGTCAAGTGAATTTTAATTACTGATCTTCTTCTGTCCTTAATGACCATACATCACTATGTAGCCAATATCATAGAAATAAACTTAAATTCAGGAAGTACTTTAAACTTTTGTCTCCAGTTATAAATTTTTATAATTAAAAAATCTATCATACACAACTAATCTTACTTTTGCAACAGAAAACAAATTATTCAATACTAAAATTCAACAAAATGTTGAAAATCCATTGTGGATGTGGTAAAGAGATGTTCAACTGTCATTACTGAAACCTTAATCACTGACTAAAATTATAAATGCCACCCACTACCAATTAAAATATTATAACTCAGATGTCTGTAAATTTTGAGACTGTTGTTTGCAGAAATACTTTGATTGCTATGTCAAGGCAGTCTCTGTGAAGGTTTTTATTTTAACTGCGAAAGTGAGCATGACAGCCTCAACTATCATGGTTTCGCATTTTAAGTCCTTAAGAAAAATCATTTCC